CGGGTGCCTTGGGGGGCGTCTGCCCAGTGCGGCCCTGGGTGCGGGTCCTTCCTCAGGTGTGGGGCCTGCAGGTGTTTCCCCCGGCCTGTGGCTCATCCTTTCATCTCGCTCAGCGACTTTGGAGGACAAGTTCACGGTAGAAAAGTTTTTAGTTCCGTGGTCGGCTTTGGGTGGCTCCTGCAGCAGCTGGTTGCCAGCTGAGGTCAGGAGGCTCCCGGGCCTCCTAGACGCGGCCCATCACCGCCTTTCGCATTCAGACCCACTGTAGGCAGATCTCTGTGACGGGCGGCAGGCGCGTGTCCAGGTCCACGTTTTGCATGTGGCACGCCCAGGAGACCACTCCGGAGCCACAGCCACGTCGCCGGTCGCGCCTGCCTGCCTGCCAGCTGCGGGGCGGCTGTTCTCCCAGCCAGGAGGCCCGGTCCACCTGGGGTGGGGTGTGCGGCGCCCTGTTCTGTGCAGCCCCAGGGACGCTCCAGGTGCCACGCGGGAGAGAGGGCTGTCCTGATGCTCGTGCCAGCCGGAGGCACCCCTCTGTGTACTGCCTGGGAGCCCCGTGAGGGGTGTGGGCAGCCCCAGGCCACCCGCAGTGAAGGCGGGCCCACCGGAGGCAGAGGGCACCCCTGGGTGATGTGTTCAGGAGGGCAGGCAGCTGTCCCCGAGCCGCCTTCTGTCCCGCTGGTGCCAGGGCCAGGGAAAGACAGGCCAGGTCCGAGCTCTGGGTTCCTCTGAGGCCGCTTCTTCCTATGACAGACAGTCACGGCCAGAAACAGCTTTGCCGTGGCCCCCGCTTCCAGGAACGCCAGGGACACCTGCTTCAGCCCAGCGTCCTCGTGGGTGTGGCAGAGCTGGGGGAGTTAATTGGACAGCATAGGGCTCCCCGTGCCCAGCTGGATGCCCAGCCTCCCAGGGCCTAGGGGCACCGCGGGGCACCCTCCCCCAGAGAGGAAGGTGGGCTGAAGAGGGGAATGTGGCTACTGGGAAAGGGGGGCCTCACCTGCCAGCTGCCGGCGTGGCCTGCAGGTGCCCCTCCTGTGGGAATTGCACTGGGGCTGAGGAGCCACATGGGTTCTCTGGGGTCCAGGCTGGGCCCCCTCAGGCTGGGCTTCACCTTACCAGGGCCGTGGGGCTGGAAGAGAAGCCGGCTCTGCCTTGAGCCCTCCGCCCCCTCCAGCCTCCGTGCCCCAGAGATGACGGGTGGGCCCCATGGTCTGCCCCGTGGCCAGCACCAGGAAGCTGCCTGGTTCGCCCAGCCCCCCAGCCTGCCCCGGCTGTGGGTCCCGAGGGTGACGCCGGACGTGCCTGTTATTGACCTCTGCGAAGTCACAAACTGCGGCGTAATTACAGTGTTGACGGTGTTGAGCCAGCAGCTTCCAGTCCAGCCCCGGCGGGGGGGCCGCCGGCAGCACCTCATTAACAGGCACATTAACGGGGATAATTGACTGGGTGCCAGCTGGATGGTGGCGGGGCCTTAACAGTGGGCACCCGTGTGCTCTGCCTGGAGGACGACATGTCCTGTCCGTTATTCTCTGTCCCTCCATGACACACCCGTGTAGGGGCCAGGGGGCCAGGGGACCAGCTGTGACCGGCGAGTATCCCAGGGCCGGTGAGGGGGCCACATGCCGTCTGAACCCAGGCAGCTGGGTCCCAAGACCAGCTGGGGGAGCCCCGAAACCGCCCTCCCTTGCTGATAACCGGGGCTCAGCGGGGCAGGGGCTTGGGTCCTAGAGGATGGGGAGCCGTGGGGCTCCCCCAGCCCGTGGCCTGTGCTTCACGACACAGCCCCACCCCCGGGCGTTCAGCAGAAGCCGCTCTGAGCTGGACCGAGAGGGGCCCCTCCTCCCTCCTGGCACAGCCGCCTGCATACCTGGGCCTTTTCCAGGTTTTCAGACTTACAGGTGGGCAGGGGCCGGGCCGGGCAGGGGCAGGCTGCTCCTGGTACGTGGGGTCACCCGGCAGAAGGTTCCAGAAGGGCGCACTCGGCTGGGGCGGGGCCAGCTGCCCGCTAGGTCCAGCTCATTCAGCTTCTGGGCTTCGGCAGGAACGAGGGTCCGATGGGAGGACGCAGTGGGCACAGGAAGGTGGCGGGCGTGACGAGCGAGCAGCTGGGACAAGGGCAGCTGTGCTTGGGAGGGTCCCCGAGAAGACCTTTCACTTTCTGGAGCGGCCGTAATTACACGTCACACATGCCAGTGGGACAGCCAGAAATCCGGGCCGGGTGACCCAGAGGCTCGTCGTCAAGGGGGGACGGGGGGGGCCCGTGAGCAGCGCCGGGACCAGCAGTCTGGGCGCATGTGGCTTCTCATTAATCCCAAGGTCACCCCCAGCGCCCCCACCTTGTCCTGCCCC